GTGTTCTTGTAGTTATTTTGAGATGAAATTCAAAGATTTTTTTAAATTTCAATTCATGAGTTCTCTTTAACTGTCTACTAACAGGACATACTTATTAAGTTAATTACATTTAATCCCCTTGTAAACAAAGCTTTGCTTGCTTGTTCTATGTGTGGTCACATGATAAAAGTACATAGCCCTGTAACTCCAGCTTGGAAACTTCTGTCTTATACATTTGGTGAGTTCTATCTTGCTATCATGTAAGAGTATTGCATCTGCAGTCAGTTCCTATGGGCTGTACACTTTCCCTCAGCCATTGTGGCAGATAGACTGCTGATAGTCTGCCACCTACAGCAAATCTGGTCTTGCTTGCTTTGATTTTACTTCCTTCAAGCTTGCAGACACAGATATAGACGATGTAATTGCAGATATGGACTGAATCTAGCCTAGGATATATTCTTCTGTCTATCTTTTCTCAGTGTGTCTGAAAAGCACGACTAGCTCTTCATAGACTGGAGTCTTCACTTTTATTTCGCTATTGCTTTTTGTTGGTAGCTACTTCAGCCATAAACTTTGAAGGTAAATCAGGACTAATGAACCTGCTCATAGGCCCATAGCTGAACTCTTCATCACAGCCCAGCAGCCTCTAGAGCAGTGTCTGGCCCAGTCAGAATGCACAGCTCCAAGCTTAAGGAACACATGAGACTTGGCCTTGTTGGGAAAGACCTGGTAATGAGCTCATTTGCCTCCAGTTCTCCTGCCTCTGACTGACTCCTGGATGGTTCCTACCCAAGGGTGAAACCAAGGCCTTATGACCATCAAAATCAAAGAGAGAAAAAAGTCACAGGAGGAGGAGGATACATTGTTCAGAGAGAAGGGATGTACTCAGATCTCCAGGGTTTTGGTTCTATGTTGAATATTCGAAAAATGGAGTACTGGGGGTGTGGTCACATGGTAGAGTGCTTTCCCAACAAGAACAGAGCCCCAAGTTCAATCTCCAGTGCTACGGAAAAGAAAGCCAGGAAGGCAAGTGCAGACAGATGTTCAGGTGGGAGAGCAGGGGGGAAAATCTATTGTGATTTTCTTTTTAAGTATCCCAAATGATTCTGCTGTGCAGTTAGCATTTGGGATGCTGTTCCAGGTGTGAATGGGGAGCAGTATGTGAATATCTACCTGTGCCTTCCACAATGAACTGGGCAGCAGTCCCCATATCTACCCTATGCTTCACCACAAGACCAAACTAGAGCCTGGGGTTATCCAAGCAAATGTACCTCCACATTCATTGCACAAACTCATGTCTATCTGCAAACACCCATGAAAATAAAGCAGTCCACACCCTTACAATTCAAACTGATTTGTAAGTGTCTGGGAATTTGCTAGTTCTGGAGAACCCCAGACCCCACTCTCATCCCCACAAATTAGTTGAAAGAGGTCCTGAAGGAATTCCTGTACGCATTAACATTTAAGAAGTAAAATGTGTTGTTGTCCTGCTTCTGAAGGACCTGAGTTGGTGTGTGTGTGTGTGTGTGTGTGTGTGTGTGTGTGTGTGTGTATGCATAGTTACACAAGCCTGTGTTCTTCTTGAGACATGTTAATTCAGGAGACTCACTCCATTCCTTTGCACTAGGTCAAAAGACCCTTTGATTTTGAGATATATGGCTCCAGTGGAGTATGAGAGCAAGGATGATGGAGGACAGGCAGGCAGAGGCAATACCCATGCAGAGGGTTATTCTTCTATGAGGTCTGTTGCATATAGAATCATGTCTGTATCTACTACATTACACACAGGGCTGCTTTCAGGGAGTTACCACTGGACTGACTCACAGTGTCCCTGTACTTCACGAAACTGAACGTCATGTTGACCCAGTCTGACTTCATCTTCTCCAAGTTTTTCTCCAGAGAGTATTCCTTGCTGGCAGCTGCACCAATGGGCTCCAGCCTGAGGAGAGAACACACCAACACCGACATCAACAGGCTGTGGCAGATACCTGAGGAGGAATTTCAGCTCAGTCTTAAGAGATTTCCAAAAGCTTTAATTTTAACAAAATGTTTTCTCTAAGCTTTGCCAGCTACTTCCAATGAATTTCCTGTTCTGAGTACTGTTGTCTTTTGGGGCTGTTTATAAGTTGAGTGTTTCTCCAAAATTCCCACTGAAGTTCTAATCCCCAACCATTCAAAATGTGACTATGTTCGAAGGGCGTTTAATGAGGTGATTATGTTAAAATGAAGCCATGGAGGCTGAGCCTAATCCAGCAGGACTGGTGTTCTTATAGGAAGAGTTGATGGCAATCACACAGAAATCAGGATCATGTGAAGACACAAGGGAAAGGTGGCCATCTATATGCCAAGGAGAGAGGCCTTCAAGGAGACTAGCCCATAGTCATGGACTCCAGGACCCCAAAACTATGAAAAATAAGTTTTCAGCAGCCTAACTTACTTGGCTCCTAAGGAATGACAGCCAAGGTGTCATCTGTCCTCCACTTCACATAACACACATGCATGCACACACACCCCACATTTGTACCTCCCACTCATAAACACACTTGCTCACCCCCAAAACAAACAGAAATAAACACAGCCATTCAGATAATACAAATGATCGCCCTAGAATCCCAGGGCACTTGGGGATGGAGAAAACAAAGAGATTGTTCATCACAGTGTGCTTCATGGATCTTAGTAGCTGGAGGTCATCCTAGTTTGCTGTTTAAGAAGAAACAGGCCCATGAAGGCTGAGTGGTTTGTTCCAAGTTCTAAGAGTTGGGCAGAGTCTCAGGTTCCCAGAAAGAATTTGTTTTTAGTTTCCCTTTGAAATAACATCCCTAACTCTTTCTAGTTCCAACTCTACAGCAGGAAAAGAAATAACCACTTGGGTATGTCAGCCCAAGTGGGAGTCATTGATATTTTCAATCACAGTGACCCCCTGAACCAAAACCTGTCTAGAATGAGGGATAACCCTTACCTTTCAACAAATTTGCCGAATCCAAATTCCAGCATGTTCGCGAGGCACGTTGTCTCTGTGGGCTTTATCTCATAGCCAACAATCTCACTGATCTGCAAAGAAAGGACGAAGACGAGGGGCAGTTGTGGAAGGTAGCACTGTCCAGCGGAACCTCGGTAAGGATGGGGAATTTCATTGTCTGCACTGTCCAGCATTGTAGCCACTAGTCCCAGGAGGCAGTTGAGTGCTAAACAGGTTTAATGCGAGGGATGAACTGAATTTTTGTGTTCAATTAGTTTTAACTAACTAGTACTCAATGAAATGACCACATGGTTGCTGAGTCTGACACTGTGGATCTGAGGGTTCAGAAGGCTGTTGCAGGGCCACACTGTATCTGGTTCTTCCAAGTTTGTCTCCCAATCAATTCCTGAGCATAACAATGACCAGACAGAGCCTCAGTTATGCTTCAAGGGCCTATGGAAAGCTCCCCTGTGATTCAATCTGTAGTGAGTATTTGCTGAGTGTGTGTGTGTGTGTGTGTGTGTGTGTGTGTGTGTGTGTGTGTGTGTCTGTCTGTCTGTCTGTCTGTCTGTCTGTCAGATACACTCTCCAGTGCTCTGAGCTGAGGAATAAGAAGGATTCCCCTTCAAAAGTGCTCCCATGCTGGGCTTGTGATCCTGCCTACTCAGGAGTCTGAGGAAGCAGAATCAATTTCTGGCCCTGCCTAGGCTACAAAGTGAGTTCAAGGCCGACTTGGCCAGCATAAGGAGACTCAAAATTAAAAGTGAAAGGTGATTAATGGCACAGCGTGTCCCTAGGTTTAATTCCCAGTACTGCTCAAAACACAACAGAATAAAGAAGAGCTCCCATCCACATCAGGGGGCTACTTGTCAGGGTCTCCATCCCACTGGTGTGACACTCGCCCAGGCTCACCTCTTCAGTACAAACACCCCTAAGGAAGCTCTGAGGGAAGCTCCTGAAAGACCTAGATAGCACCAGGGTCACCCACGCTAAAGATGGGGGCTGAAGCAGGAATGAGTGTCTGTATTAAAAAAAAATCTATTGCTGAGTTTTACCTCCATTTGGCTGCCAGAGGACTAGAAAACACCAGAGCAGAAAAGAGTGTGGGTGCCATGTTACACTCTGTCTTACCTTGTGTCCTTGGCACCTGACATTTGGTAGACATCAATAAGTATTCATGGAGGAAAAGCCTGACTAAATCATAGAACTTGAATAGCTTCCAATCTGGGTTCTGGGGACCTCTGGAGGATCAGTATGGTAATAAACTAAAAATAATGAGCAGTTATTTGGGGCTTACTAAGAACCATATTGTTTCAAGAGCTTCTCACACTTATTTTAGTCTCCTAGTACCACAAAGAACACACTTATGTGTTAATCCCACTTCACAGCTAAAGAATCTGAGCTGGAAACATTATCTTGTCTAAGACCATCAAGTTAAGAAATAGCAGAATTGGGATTTGGATCCAATTCCGACTCTAATAAATATTATTCTCCAAACTCTAATGTCTCTTACAGGTCCTCTATGTACAGCTGTCTGTGTCATATACTGAACAGTTCTGGACAAACGTAGTATTTGGCAGAATTCTGCAGAACACAAGCTGCACAAGTGGCAGCCTTGACCTTTCACTATTATTGAAAATATCTACTACCTACTTATCTATCTGTCTGTCTATCTATTTATCTATCTATCTGTCTGTCTGTCTGTCTGTCTGTCTGTGTGTCACAGGCACCTGGATATCATAGCACACATGGGGAGGTCAGAGGACAACCTTGCAGGAATTGCCTCTCTCCTTCTGACATGTGGGTTCTGGGGAATGAACTCAGGCTGTCATGCTTGGTGGCCAATTCCTGTCCCTGCTGACCCATCTTGCTGGTGCGTTTATTCTTTTATACATTAAAATACAGTAACACACTGACTATCTCTGGGGCTAAAGCACACTTACACAAAGCCCTCAGCATCGCAACTGGCTTGCAGCGAGGACTTGGAGATTGGCAGGATTTTTTTAATTCTTTTTCTTTTAAAATTAAATATTGACAAGGCATTTGTTTCTCTAATTTTAAGATCCTGGAGCAATGCTGTCTGTGGAGACACTCGTTCCTTATGGCCTCTAAGCCTCGCAAACATGGCTCGAATGAATTGAGGTATGTTCTGAATATAGCACCAAATACTTCACACTACTGATTTCAAAGCTGATGGATACATAAATGATAATGTGTACTAGTTTAGACAGCACATATCTATAAGACTTATTTTACTTATTTCCTTTTACTTTAGAAAATATGGCTGGGCTGGGAACATAGCTTAATGGAAGGGCACTCACCTCACACGTGCAAGCTCCTAGGCTCAAACCCCACTGCCACAAAAAAGATGAAGGAAGGAAGGAAGGAAGGAAGGAAGGAAGGAAGGAAGGAAGGAAGGAAGGAAGGAAGGAAGGAAGGAA